AGATGAGAGTCAGTTCACACTGAGCACATGTGACAAGCGTGAGTCTGGTGCATCGTGGTAAACATTATGCTGCCAGTATGACCAGTCAGTGATGGTCTGGGGAGGAATATCGCTGGAGGGTCACACAGACCTCCATGTCATAGCCAACAGTCCCTTGACTGCTGTTAGGTACCAGGATGAAATCTTCAGAGCAACTGTCAGACCTTATGCTGGTGCGGTGGGCCTTGGGTTCTGCCTGATGCAGGACAACGCCCTGCCTCACATAGCCAGAAAGACCTAATCTGTGATTTAAGTGTTCCCTTAATTCCTTTGAGCAGTGTATACAAAAACATGGAACACTGTACTATTACTTTTTGCCAAATTATTTTATTAGACAATTTAAATCATATAATGTATGACAAATTAAGGTCAACAGGGCCTTCAGTATGTTAACAAACTAACTCTGTAACATATCATATTGTTAGTGATGTTTTTGTCTCTCGCTGGTGTCTTTTTTTGTATGTGGGTTTTAATAGATGTAATTGGGTCTACTGCTGCTATATTAATCCCATGCTTTACTCTGTGTGCTCACGGCTGCCCATCCTGCTTTTATGCGATCAGAGGGTAAGCTCTTCACCACAGGCACTGCTCCAGTGCAGCTACGGCCTCTATCTGTGTTTGTGTCTGTATAGATATCATTCACATTGCTGTTTGCAAACATCTGCATCAGTACCTTTTACTGCTGATTCATCTTGACATTACCGAGGGCATTGGAGGGTTCAGCTTATGACAGCTTGACAAAACTAGCAGTCACTGCACTTAGACATGAATACTTGGACATGGAGCTAGGGCTTTTGCTCTGTTGTGTTGTGAAGTGATTCTTGTAGTTTTTCACCACATGTCATCAAATACTCACAAAGATTTGTGGAATGAGTCGTGTAATATGTTTCTGCATTAACTAGTCTTTATCTAAATATTTTGCATGATTTTTTCCAAAAGTTAGCCTTTATTGACAGTAACCCCTTAATAAGTACAAATTCCATTTCTTGTTAAGAGCCAATCTCAATGTCAATGGTAAATTCAAAGAGACAACATAGTTTGAAGACCAAATGCAAAACAGCTACCTTGTCAAAAAAAATCTGTTGATAAGAATCTCCGATGCATTGATTACCATATATCTCATCTGTCAAAAAGCTCAGGTATATGATCAAGATGTTTTGTTTTTTCAGACGTGCAGGACTAGTTCTGCTTCATATGCATTGACTTTCTTGAGTAAATAGTTGTTTTGCATCTTTTTGTACTTACTAGACTTCAGGAAGTCACAACAAAAAAAACTAAGTGATTGCTGGCACCCTTTCCACATTTGGATTAGCAGGACTAGCTTTTATCTCATTTTCAGTTTTTGTGCAAAGCAATCATGCCTCGAATACGGCAAATAAGCAGATTTCTTCAAAATATATACATTTTTAACTAACAACATGAATATAAAGCAGTTAGTTGTAGGAAAGAATGTTTTGTTTTGAAATTGTGATCCATCCATCAGTCCATCCCTCCATCCATTATCTTTACCGCTTATCCTTTGAGGGTCACAGAGGGAGCTAGTGCCAATCCCAGTTGACATTGAAGGAGAGCAGGGTACACCCTTGACACATCGCCAGTGTATTGCAGGGCCAACATGCTGAGACAAACAACCATTCACACTTACATTCACATCCACGGTTAATTTAGAATCTCCATTTAACCTAATGTCTTTGGGCTCTGGAAGGAAGCTGGAGCCACCCAGAGAAAACCCTTGGGGATAAAGGAGAACATGCAAACACAGACCACTTCCAAACTGGAATTTAAACAGGGAACCATGCCTAAAACAATGATGTCATTCATAGAAGACAATTCAGGTATTTAGGTCACATCAGAGCTGAAAGTAAACTTTCATTCCATGTAACCACTGTTTTCTTTCCACTGTTTTCTTTTTCAGTTGTGTCTCCTTCACGTATTCCTAAGGGGAATGAATTCCTCATAGTTTTTTGTAATGCAGAAAAGCCCCGAATTACACTGTAGAAGTCATTTTACGAAACTTTTGTGAGACCCGCTGTCAATTTGTGCATGTGTCTGCGGTGCTGTGACTGTGGCTCAGAGAGCTTCAGGGCGCTCCAGCTGAGGTTGGAGAGAATTGAAACATCCGGAGGGGGACTGGATGGTGACGATGACAAATAGCTGAAGCTAGCGGAGCATCAGGCATCACGCCATGTGGTTACACAATGTGACTCGCACCACCCCAGGAGACTCGAAATACCTTCCACCTCTACGAGACAGGTGTGTTAGGTGGCATTGATAAGGACTTCAGGGGCGTATTATGCAGCTATTCAACCTCAGAAGACTGTGGGCACATGTTATGTGTGTTTTCTGCTTATTGAGAACACTAATATACATGCCATCCACCACCCATGGGGGTGAGAGCATACCAGGAGTTTGTGCTTGAACAAAGCAAACAGTGCTCGTATGGGAAAACTATCAAACTAGATTAAAGCTGGAGCTACTCGGGCTGGACGATATTCTTGAAATCAATACCACACAATTAAAATGAGTATTTTGCCAATGAAATGAACAAATTGATGCTCTGACTAATTCTGGGTGATTATGATCAACGTAGATGTTAAAGAAACCATTTCATTGTTAGAAAAAAATGTCAGATACAAAAAACCCCCAATTGTATTACTTTCATAGTGTTTAACAGTGTTTTTTCAAATTGTTGCTGGACAGAAACGATGTATCCACCACCACTAGCAAATTCATCTTAGTAAGTTTACTGTGTTTGACTCTAGTCAGCCTACAGTTTAGTGGAAATCAAAACTTTGAATGTGCCAGGACTTAGCCCCAGGCTCAGTATTTAAAGGACTGGTTGTTTTGCCGGGCCGTGTATAAATGCATTACTCACTCTGCACAAGTGCTGATGCCTTCCAGCTCTGTTTATCCCATGTGCACCAGACTTTTATTTTGTCCTCCACTCATGTTCTTAGGCATCATAACTCTGCTGATTTAGGTACAATGTACAGTGGGTGAATTTGACAATACAGTGTAGTACAACTTACTCAACACCTCGCTGCTGTTTTGAGGGTGTGACTAAAGGATTTCTGTTTCTGCACAGAACCTCCAATTACCATCACAAAGCCTCTGGATGATGTCCTTACTGTGGTGGGTGAGAAAGTGGAGTTTGAGGTGGAAGTGTCCGAGGAAGGAGCCAACGTCAAATGGTGAGTTAGTGTGCCCCCTGGTTTGATTACACACGTCAGAAATGCATTAGTCATTGTGGCAAGGGACGTTGCCAGAGGGGTTTCCCAACGACAGCCAGAGACCAACCACTCACTGTTCAACATATTTTATTGACGTAAATGCTACAACAAACATAATTGGTCCAGCACATACATTTTCTGGGAGCAGCTCAGTTCAGCTCTCTGGCTTAGTCTCTCCTCTCCATGTGTGTCAGTCTCTTCTTTATGTGTTTCGACAGCTCTCTACTGACTTTATAACCAGGGAAGTAATCAGCCAGCAGCTTTCAGCTTGAGGTGCTCCCTGAGCCAGGGAGAACAGTCATTTAATAATCTGTTGCTAAAGGTTCAGAACGATTCCTCAATAAAAGGGATAAACATAAGCTGTTGAAATGAATGTGTGAAATGAAAACTGCAGATAAAGTCCGGACCCAATTCTCCGGACTTTATCCGCAGTTGGCCTTTCACACATGCACAATGCAGTGGGAGGTTCTACAGATTCTATGGACTAATGCAGACTTTATAGTAGGGGACCAGGTGGAGAAACTCTGTAGATAATCCGGAGGCTCTCATTCATACATTTTTACATCACACATGCACCTCCTCCAGAGAAAGTGTGGAGCTTCTCTGGAGTTCAGCGCACGTCTGAAAGCAGCAATAGAGATAAAGAAAAAATATCTGTTGGTAAATGTTGACACATCTAACAAATTACTTATCATTATTGTTAAGTGTGATGTCAGTGTTGAATGTTGCTTTTATTTAATAAACCAAGAAGTCTTTTCTGGAAATCACAGCTACATTCATATAGTAAATTCCAAATAAACAAAAGTCTTTTTCAATTCTCATAATATCTGTCCCCGAAACATGACTGATTTTTTGTCATCAAGATACATGAATTTTTCTCTGAGAAATCAACAAAAAGTTTGAAAAATGACCAATCGTGCAACTAAATCTCAATCAAAATTTCATGAGTTCTTCCTTGAATTATACAGCATCCAAGTTTTATGGTAATCCATCCAAAGGTTGTTGCATAATTTTGCTCATAACAAACCAACAAATGGACAGGGGTGAAAACAACCTCCTTGACAGAGGAAATAAAATAGATCTAGACAAGAACTAGGGATGTAGCGGCTCATAAGCCATCATGGTTCCTTTGGTTGAATGTTTTTTGCATTGGGAGCAGCTGTTTCTCTTTGACAAAAACTATATCGCATGTTCTGAATTATTGAAGAGCACAACATTCAAACTTTATGAATTTTAGGATATATGCAAGTTAGGAAAAAGACAGACTAGATTAAGTGTTATCACTGAAAAAGCTCATTGAGCAGGACATGCTTCCATTCACACATTTTTACATGCTCAAAAATGTCTCAAAAACATACCTTTTTCCAAAAAACTCCATTGAATTTTTAAAAACTATTTATTACAATAGCACTAACTGTATATTTGAATGACTGATCACTTGAACACTGGTGTCCAAAACAGAACAGACAAGGACTGAGGCACATGGAAATCCAGCGAAAAATTAGTCATGGGGCACAAGGACAAAGGGCAATGTTTAAAGAAGACAGGGAAAATCCATAGGTGTGAACAGACAAAGTGACAGAGGAGAGTGGGGAGACTAGGGATAACTAAACTCAGGTGTGACACAATAGGGCAGATGCAGGCAATCACAGGAGCGGGAAAATCAGACAGTTTCAAAGTAAAACAGGAAATAATTAACTTAGCATGCAAACAAAGATGAAAAAACAAAAGGTCCAAATACAAAAAGTCACCTTCTGCAATATTTTTAAAATGTTCCAAACCTTGTGATCCTGGAAGCTCTATAGCAAAGTAGCAGAGAGCAGAGCATTCAATAAGCTCTTTGTCACCTGTGTTTGTCTAGGTCACCACAACCTATATGTTTGTGTGTTTTCTGCTCAGGATGAAAGATGGAGTTGAGCTGAACAGAGAAACTGCAGGTTCAAAGTACAGGATTAAGAAAGATGGGAAGAGGCACATTTTGATCATAAACGAAGCTACGAAGGAGGATATTGGGATGTACTACGCCTTCACCAACGGTGGAGAGTCGAAGGCAGAACTGGAGGTTGAAGGTAATTCCTCTTCGTGTAGAGTCCCTGCCATTTCTCATCACAAAAACTAAGAGTTAGTTCTGTGTTTTAATGCTGTGCTTCCATTAGAAATCATAACAATGAAAATCAAGAAGAGATTCAAGAAGGAGATAATATCAAACCAAGATTGAAGAATCAAAATTCAACAAACTAAAGGTCTTTAATGACATGACTTCTAAAAAGGATTGAAGAATTGTGTATAGTTAAATGCTTAAACATGACGCTTGTACTAATGAAGTGCAAAATATAATGGCTCATCACAAAACACAATAGAAAAAATTGGCATTAACATCTACTGTTATCTACTGTAAGTTAGGTACGTGCTATTGACAAAGCACATTGCTGATTGGAGGGAAGATTTGGAGTTCAGGGTCACTGTAGAGCAGTGAACATAGAAAACCAATACTCTTATAAATCCAAAGTTAAATCTAACAGTAACAGAAGCAGAAAGTTCCAGACATCAGCTGGTGTATCAAGTTTTTCAGACATGGTTCCTTAATTAGGACCTTAAAAAAAATTCACACATCAGCGCATCTTGATGTTTTCCATTTTGACAAGCATGAAAAGCAATAGATTAGCCATTACTCATGTCATAATTAATATTACTTCATTAATCCCTTGTATCAGTTGTTCATCCCCCTATTCGTCATGCTAATTTGCTTTAGCACCTCCAAAACTAATGGCGGAGTCTCATCTCTCGCCTGTTCAGATAACAAGCTGTCTTAGTTGCTGCAAACCTGCGAGCCAGACGAATCTCCTAAATTGATTAGAATGTGAGAAAACGTCTGTATGGACTCTCCAGTCACTGTTGGAGTGCACCAGGTGGCTCATATGAACAGAGTAATGCAACCTAAATGGCTAAATAGAACACCTGCATAGGGTGAACCACAAGTTCATGGAGGGGGACCTCATTATTGTAGCGTGCCACAACACCACAGTGTGTCATGTTGTGGCTGAAATCCACAGGAGTGAAGAAAGCTGGAGGGAAATTTCTAAAATGTTTCGTAGCAAATATGTCTCCTAAATAGATTAACTTGTGGCCTGCTAGCCACCGGTGTACATGACAGCAATGCCCTCCCAATTAGTGAAAATAGAAATGTTTTCAAAGCTAAAAATATGTTTTAAAGAATATTTTGAGTTTTGAATACGCTCGGTTAATTTCTTACCAAAAGTTACATGAAACTATTGACACTAGTTTTGTATGATGCTATAGCCAGCAGCCTTCTTAGCTTGCCATAGCACTATAAAGGCTGGCTCCATGAAAAAAACATGTATTTACATCAAGATTCACACATAATGTTTGAGAAATCAATGAATATGTTAAAAATTGTCCTCTTTCTTTAATGTTCTGGATCTGCACCAAGCAAACAAAAAAACTCTGAATTTAAAACCTGAAGCCACACATTTATGATAGTGGGCAAATGTTACATATTAATTGTGTTATTGCTGCACTATCTATCTATGTTGTGGTTTTTGCTACAGATAAGGAGCTGCAGGTTCTGCAGAGCATAAGTGACCTGACAGTGAAGTCTGCTGAACAGGCTGTGTTCAAGTGCGAAGTGTCTGATGAAAAAGTGACGGGAAAATGGTTCAAGGACGGGGTTGAAGTCCAGCCCAGTGATCGCATCAAAATATCACACATCGGAAGGTAATGTCACTACACTTATGGGGGTCCAAGTATGAACACATTTGCCTTGAGCTCTCTTTCCCGGCCGTCACGCACAAACACAGACACACAAACACATACAGACATGCACGCACACAGACTCACAAAATCATATCACAGTAAGCAGCGTCTGTCACATGGCTCGGCAAACTATTACGAAAGGGTGTTCTTAGTCGTTTGACCCAATTTTAGGATTCAGTAAAGCTCTAAGGTCCAAACACACATGCATACAGACACAACACACACACTCCCCGAGGGTCTGGTGTTTTTCTCAGTAATCCCTCCGTCAGAGCTGCCGATGGTAGGAGGCAGCAGCGGTCACACAAGGTGAAAGACATTTTGTATGTTTCTCACTCTGCAATATTGCCTCATGAAGTATGTTGCCAGGGCAACTGTCTTTTGCATAATTGTGGGTCACAACAAGTGTTGTCTCCTTGCTAACATCTGGTAACGTGTACCCAGGACCCACAAGCTAACGATTGATGATGTGAAGTCTTCAGACGCTGGAGATTATACTTTTGTCCCTGATGGCTACGCTATTTCTCTCTCAGCAAAACTCAACTTCCTGGGTGAGAGCGACCCAACAATCTGAATGAGAAGCATTTGATGCATTTTCTGGATATGAGCTAACAATGTTTTATTTTATTTTTTTCTCTCCAGAAATCAAGATTGAATATGTTCCCCGACAAGGTGAGTGTTGTTGTCTTATTGTATAGATGTATAATCAACAACTGCCAATATCGCAGATGTTTTCCTTAACCTTTTACTCTGTAGCTTTAACTCTGTTAAACCTGTGAGGTCATTTCTTAAACCTACAAAGCAGATTTAGAAAGCTTATTTAAAAAGAATTCATTGAAAATAGTATTGTTGCAGTATTTAAAATAAGGATGTGTTCGCTCTAGGTATCTTTAGAAAAACAAGGAAGTGCTGGTACATGAAACAGCACCTGAGTGTTTCACTCAATGTTTTACTTGCGACTATAAGTCTGCATTAAAGTGATGTCACTGTGTACTGCCATGCCCTGTACACTTTAACGTCACTGCAGTAGAGTAGGTAGTTTTAACTCCCTTAAAGAGTCTCCACTAGATTTCCCTTTATGCAAAAATAAAGCAAAAATCAATTCACTGAAGTGCTCATGACACACACAAAAATTAAACTGATATCACCATTATCTGGTGAGGGTCAGGTCAGTCACATTGGCTGGGGAGATTTTTGACACTGCACATGTCTGTAATCAGTGGCAACGAGCAATAATGATGTGTTTCAGGATAACACAAACTCAGTTCATTAACTGCATTGGGCTTTGGTTGGGTTCGGACACAAAACATGAAAAATGTCTGTCAGGTTTGGTTCATGAGAGGTTAGTTTCCTCATGGGCTCGGACAGATTTGGACTGAAAAATGCAGGGATGCAATCTAGTGGTCACACACCCTAAATTGCTTGTTTAACATTACCTTCTTCAACATGATGGTGATCCTAATGTAAATGTCTAAAGTCTGAGAAAACCATCACATCTAACACGTTGAGCACAGATTGTCATCGATGTGAACCAACAAAGCAAAATCATGTTGGTGTCTTATCCCAAACTTGTTATCTTTCTAACCTGAATGACTTCTCCTCTCATGAAAGATCCTCCCAAAATCCACCTGGACACCAGCAGTACCGGCAACAAGAACATGATCACCGTGGTTGCTGGAAACAAACTTCGCCTTGACGTTGAGATCACGGGAGAGCCAGCCCCCACAGTGTGCTGGATGAAGGGAGATGAAGTGAGGAACAGACAAGAACAAATTCTCACCATTTGCCTCATAAACAATCGAACACGCGTCAGATACTTTCTACCTTTGTGCATCAACCAGCCATTAGTCACTGAACAGAACAAAGAGTGAAACATGAACTAGAGTGGGATGGTTGAATCACCTGTCATTGTAGCAGCTGTGCCGTCATTGTTCTCTTTAACAGTGTCCTTTTTCCTGTCTGACTCTCTCTTGCTCTGTCCTGATCTGTTTGGTAGGCGGTGGCTGAGGCCGAGGGACGAGTCCGTGTAGAGACGTGGAAAACCGTAAGCAGCTTTGTAATAGAGGGGGCAGAGAAAGCTGACGAGGGCCGCTACTCCATCACAGTGACTAACCCTTCTGGAGAAGACAAGGCTGAACTCTTTATCAAGGTCGTGGGTCAGTGGCTTGATCTCACTTTGTCCTTTTTCACTTGATTTTTCTTCCTTTTGTGGCTCCCACCCTATTTTCCCTGGCTCAGTGAGAGCTGTAGGGTGTTGATGTGAGACTGTGTCATGGTTTTGTAAAAATTTTTTTACATAAATGAGGCCCAACTTCCTTGTGTGAAATCCTCCAAATTTCACACACTCATAGAAATCAGTCCCCTTAATATGCCTGTTTTTTTCATCAAGATCCATCAATTATTCTTTGGAAAACGTAAAGAAAAAGTCTCATAATGTTAAAAAAAGGTAAAATTCCTGAATCTATCCTGTGATCCGGACCAAATACCACATCCCCCCACCAAGGTTGTGGTAATCCATCCAGTAGTTTTTATGTAATACTGCCCCTTACAAACCGCATCATTTAAATTCAATAGATCTACATTTTTATATGGATCTGCACCAAATTGCCCACATTCATAAATATCAGCCATGTAAACATGCTGGATTTTTTTTCATCAAAATGTATGAATTTTTCTCAGAGAAATAAAAAAAAAAGGTTGAAAAATGTATCGGCCCCCCTGATCCAGATCCATAACAAAATTACTAGGTTCTTCTCTGGACCATGCCCCGCCTCTCGGCATAATCTAACAGAAATTGGTTCAGCAATTTTATGTAATCCTGCAAACAATCAAAAAAAAAATTAAAAAAAGATCAAATGCAGATGAAAACATAATCTCCATGCTTTATGTGTACCTAAGACTTCAGGATTTCAAGGCAGCCATTGATTTCTTATCATTTTCACATAGAAATTAAAAATACATTTCATAGTCTGCTTTTACTGCTTTGAATGATGGGCAGTAAGAGTTACCCTGAAATCATGGCAAGTCTCTTTCATTTAATTAGAATTAATGAAATTAATTAGGTTTTCATATGGAATGAACACATTTTTTAAATTATGGCTCATCATCCTTATGAATATATATAAGAATGTTATAATTATACCACAATTTGGCACAGCAAATTCACTTGACATGAACATTAACTAATGGACTGAATGAAAAACAAAATATCTATAATACTAAAGTATGCTTTTAACATCATAAGCACCGGGTGATGGTGCTTAAGTTTATATAATTAATTAGATGAACCAAAAGTCAAAGAAAATCTACCAATAAAAGGTTTTCCAAGTCGTGATTCTGTGGCTTTCTTTAATACTGTATGGCTTAAAAAGATCTACTTCCTTATCCTCTGTCATACCCACGACTTCTCCCACTTTTTCATCTTTCCTCCCCTTCCATTTCCAACTGTAACCTGCCTCTCCAGATGTGCCCAATCCTCCTGAGAATGTCAAATGCACATCAGTTGGCGAGGACTGTGCCACGATCACATGGGACCCTCCTGCATTTGATGGCGGAGTTCCCATTAAAGGTACTCCTGGAACACACAGCGTCTAATGTTCACATCTGATGTCTTCCTCCCAGGAGGAAACAGCAGTTTAGAATCCTCTCTGTTTATTACAGTGCAATGCTTTTGAACTCCTTTCTGAAGAACGCTGAGCCGCTTTTAATGACTTCACCGTATGTTGATACTGCTTTCTCCAGGGTACCTGATGGAGAGGAAGAAGGTTGGCTCGTCCAGATGGACCAAGCTCAACTTTGATGTTTACGAGTCCACCACATACGAGGTTAAGAAGATGATTGAAGGTGTTCTTTATGAGATGAGAGTGTTTTCAGTCAACGGCATCGGCGTCTCTCAGCCCAGTGGAAACTCAAAGCCCTTCATGCCCATTGGTGCGTTGCCATTTGTCATTAGCAGAATGGTTAATTAACAGAGGTTTTTCCACACAATGCTCATCGAGGCAGCTTAACCTGCCTCCTATCCAATTTACACTGAGTATTAACGTATTAATTAGCTCCTGTCTCTCTCAGCCCCCACCAGCGAGCCCACTCGTCTCATGGTGGATGATGTGACAGACACTACCTGTGCACTCAAGTGGCTTCCTCCAGATAAAATCGGAGCGGGCGGCATCGACGGTTACATCATTGAGTACTGCAAGGAAGGAAGTAAATATATGCAAAATATGTACCACTTAATACTGAGTTGTAATTGAGGGTTATGGTAGGATTAAATCATTTGGGTGGTTGATTGCTCCAGCATAACTTTATGGGGCTTTTAGGTGTAAGTACCCTTCATAGCCATTTAAAAAGATGTTTTGATACTGCAAAGGTTGTTTGTGCAAACTGTTTGCAAGTAATGGTTGTTCAATCATAGAGTAGCTTAGTAATCTTAAATTTTGTTGAATGATACGTTTATATTGTCTTGTTTTCATTTAAGCCCTTTGGAAACCAAACACACAAGAACAAAAGTGTAAGGAAAGGATTAAACAGTGTGTTGGTTTTCCCTAAAAGTTGCAAACATTATCTTATAGTGAAAGTTTTACTTTCAAGGACACCACTGACTAGCACTCAGTACAGTGCATACTTCCACCAAGGCCCAACAGTCTCCCTAAATTCAATCAACCAAACCAAAACACAAACTCATCAGTTTCCTGTGTGTACCTGATTGGATTCATCCCAATTTATGAATTATTGCCTGAGAAATTATGAAAATGTCAAAAAGAACCCATCTTATTTTACAATGTTAAAGAAAGTGAAATCTTTGTGTCTGGAAATGCGCAAAAATTGAGTGGGTTCCTTCTCAGGCCCTTGGCCCATCCTTCCAACTAGTTTTGTAGAAATCTGTTCAATGATTTTTGAGGAATCCTGCTGACAACAACTGTCGAACAATGGTGAAAACAGAACCTCCTTGGCAGAAAGAATTATTAGTACCTCAAGGAGGTAATAACTATACATCAGTCTACAAAGTTAAAGGGAAAGACTTTGAAGATTTAAGACCAGCACATTCTTTTTTTTCTCATTTCTCTCATTACTGGTGGCCCCACTTTGATTTAGTATTAGTATTGTCAGCTTAATTAGCTAAGTAGAGCTAGCTGATAACATTTGTCATGGTTTCCAGGTAGAACTGGGAATCCAACTTTTGTCAACTTCTGTCAAAAAGAAAGGACCCATTTATTCGTGACTAGAATTTGGAGTGGTAAATTTGCCACCATTGTCATGGAAAGAAGAAGAATGTGGTGTGGCTTGGCAAACAAATAGTGAACAATGTTATTATATAACGATATTACAGAATTACACACCTGATGAGTCTTTAAAGATTATCCTGACTTTTTAGGATTGGTTCAGTTTTTTCTGATCTGTTCCTTGCTCGCCTCTTCACTCATCCCTCAGGTGACCAGTGGGTGCAAGCTAATGAGACACCAGTGGCAAAGAACCAGTACAGGGTGAAGGATCTCCCAGTGGGGGAGAAGATGCTGTTCAGAGTGGTGGCAGTCAACATTGCAGGCCGCAGCCCCCCTGCCACTATCTCCCAGGCCGTCACCATCAGAGAGATTATGGGTCAGATATGCGTTTTAAGTCTCACATCATTATTTTTTTTTTTTTCAGATATAAAATGAACAACAGTGCACCTGGTGCAAAATATCTAATACAAATCCACATCAGTTTGAACTCTAAGATACTCTAAGACTTATATGCCATAGTTATGTTCAGCCATTGCTAAAGAATAGTGCTGCCTGCTGAAAAAACAAAAATCCAATTATCAAGCTTACCACTGGGTCTTAGTTGTAATAAAATCACTGTAAATCTTCTCAAGGATTATTTCTTAAACATGTGCTGCAGTTAAGAATGAATGATTCCGCTCTGTATATTCACGTCTCAATAATCAATACTTCTGGCACACACATACTTGCTCATTAACATGACATTCTAACTGTACATGTACATTTTATATGTCCACACTCCTCCACACCTCCCACACATCCACAAGTTCTACTCATCTTTTCCTTTGCCATTTCTCCTGTGTCCACCACCCAGAGTCTCCAAAGATCCGCCTGCCGCGCCAACTGAGAACCAAACTCATCAGGGTTGTGGGCGATAAGGTCAACTTGGTCATCCCCTTCCAGGTTAGTTTAGGTGGCCAAACTCTGTCTTTTTTCTCAGTTAAATTGCAGTTAAGATTAATAATACAGACTAGATTTGGAATAGCAGAATAAAATCAGTTCTGCTCAAAGATTAAAAGCTTGCTCTCACACTGACCCTGTACTGAATGCCTATCAACAGGTTCTGGCTTCATCCACAACACTATATTCTGTATATATATATTTTTTAAAACACATCACCTCTGCTATGGTTATGCCTGCAGTCCACACTAGTTTTCACACTTTCAAACTTGCCCCAATTTAGTTTGATAACTCCAGGGCCGCATTGTAGGAATGGAGTCATTTGGAAACAATGACTTAAACAGTCACAATTGCTTGCTGATTGGGTATTTTCAGTCAAAACGGATCCTAACCAGTCAGTAACAGTTCCGCCTTGTCACCTGTCCAGGTCCAAGCAAAGCAATCCTTGCTCTTACTTGCTTGTCGGTATGGCAATATGGAGCTGAAACTCTTGTGTGGATGGAGATTGTTTTAGTTTTAAAATGAAACCAAAAGCATGATTTGGCTTGAAGCCTAAAAATTCACTCTGCTCCACATAAAATAATTAATCACAGAATGGTTTCATCTGATCTCTGACTTATTTCAAGTATAAACCCAACTGGTCCAAGAAGACAGGCAAGAAATATGTTAAAACACACTAATCGGAGTTTTGGTTGCCCATTCTGGGACATCCACCTGCACTTTGTCTGCATGTTTGGTGATGGAAATAAGGCATCTGTTTTGGCTGAAATCTGACTGGGCAGTTTTTTTATGTTGCTGGTATAGTGGCGTTTCAGGAATCTGCCTGTCAGATCATTCTGTGAACACGATATCTCAGCACAGTGCTGAGGGAATTTCTTAAAAATAATGAATTAATTAGAAGTTGGTGGCAAAAGGTCAAGACCTCCCAAAAACAATAATTCAAGTAAAATGATTGTAATCATAAAATAAACGTAATACCTTTTATTAAATTCCTTCAAAGCCCCACTGGATGTAAATTTCAACTTGAGTGGTTGGCGGAGGCTTCCAACTGTGAGGTGGAAATTCTAGTTTCTTCTGAAATGTAAATCCAATATGTAAACTTTGCTAGCAGCAGAAAGAGCGAGTGCTCAAAGGGCATAAGAATCATCACAGCATTGACAGTAGCTTGTAAATGATTGTAGTAGGGAAAATAAGCTGACCTCAAGTAGCAAAGGGGAAGCAACTGTTATAAATAAAAACAGACAACACAAAGTGAGACTCAGCACTGTCTGCTTTTGAAGAAGTAAATGAAAAGCCTGTTCTGAGACAGAGGACATGACTACACATTGTTCTCCTGGGAGAAAAGAGCACCCACACTAGAATTCTGTGGAAAGACTTGATTCCAATGGTGGTTTCATCACTGATATATTTTCTAACTGCAGCTGAGAGGAATTAAAAAAGCCTAGTTTAGATGAATTTCCTAACTGAAAAAGGCAAAGGTCCAAAATCACAGAACATCATCACAGACCAGATTTCTTTGAGGGACTCTTCTTTGAAACATTTCTTCCTTTATTTTGATTTATTATGTCACTGTTGACCACAGGGTAAGCCTCGCCCCATTGTGACCTGGTTCAAAGAAGGCGTTCCCCTGGAGGACAGTACGGTGGGAACTCGTACCAGTGAAGTGGACACCATCCTCTTTATCCGCTCAGCAGAGAGAACCCACTCCGGAAAGTACACATTGTCTGTCCAGATCGAGAACATGTTGGACAGCGCTGACATACACATTCAGATTGTAGGTCAGTCTCTGCACGGCACCGACAACCTCTCAGCTTCAACTAAAAACCCTCCTTTTGCATGTTCTCTCTTTAAGATTAGAACACCGTGCATGGTTCATACTTCACAAGGTAAATGCTTAATAACCTGTGTGAACAGGGATGAGGGCTTGAGCCCAAATCTCTGACATGTCACAAGTTTTTTCAAATTTGATGATAATTCCTAATTTCATACTGCTAAGGATCTGCGACTTTAAGAAGCAAATCATCAAAGCGCTGATTCCACTCTCTCGAGCATAATCCTGACTCCAGCACTGCCACCGTGGCCGCCAGCTCATTCCTCAGCTTATGGCCTGTCTCCCTGGGTCAGGTTACTGGTTGGATTATTTGGCAGGGGGGCTCCGCTGGGATTATTTGTGTGTAGACTGGAATTAGATTTGGATTTTGAGGGCTACTCTGTCACTTCTTCTTCTGGGAAGGTCGAGCTAATGAGAGGCTGTGACTCCTCGGATCAGGCCCCCCTTCAGCTGATCTGTCACCCTACTGTTTCAGCAAGAGATACTACATGAAGGATTAACGGGCAGAAACAGTTGCGCTGCACACACTTGGTACTGTACTCCACAGAGAGCACTCAGAGCAAGATTAATGAGAAATACACCACTATGTTGTGCAGTCTTTCTGTACTGCACTGTCTATAATACAGGCCACACAGAGGGGCTGATGATAAACACACTGCATTTTTCTGCTCTATGTACTTTTTCTCACTTTGTCACTTCTATGCCAACACAGTTTTTTATGAATACATGCAGCTATCCCCTCCTTTCCTTGAACCTTTGTCTTTTTCTCTGCTAATCTGTCAATCTTTGCCAAATCTCCTCTGTGAGTGTTGATTTCTTTCCCTCTGTGGGACTTCCCTGCTCCAGATCTGTTCATCACTACCCCTCTTTCCCTACATCTAACAGCTTACCTTCTTTTTACCCAGGCAGAGAAAAAGAGTTTCTAGTTTAGTTAACTCAACCAACTGTTCAGTTTCTTCTTTTCTGCTCATGATTGTCTGATGAACTCATCTTGTTCCAAGTTTCAAAATCCTTTCCATTTCTATCCCCAACTTTGTCTCCTCTCACAATCCCACCAGAAAAGCCCGGGCCTCCCATTGATGTGCATGTCACAGACGTCTGGGGTTTCAACGCTGCGCTGGAGTGGAAGCCGCCCAAAGACGACGGCAACTGTGAGATTATTGGCTACACCATTCACAAGGCTGACAAGAAGACTAAGGTATGCACGAAGAGATGTGGAAGGGTAGCATAGATGTGGGGTTCAGGTGAGGCAACTCACTGGCTGCCATATTGGAGGTCTGCGATAATGACTGTGATCCAAAAATAAATAAATAAATAAAGTTCTTAACAGAATAAAAAACGTTTAATGCAGCCTTGCCTTTTTCATTTAGTTACAAAGTCATTAAGTCAGTTTTATGTCACCATGCTGGTCAGCTAATTAGTCGTAACTAATATGGTCAGATGCTATTAATCACAATAATCTCACATGTTATAATCCTACGTGGGATATTAGGAACACATGTGGTTTGGGGACATTTTCATGGTGTAATGTGTGAGTCTCATTAGTGTCCAAATGTATTTCCTTCTTGGAACATGTGTTTTTCCTTCATGTGATCACCATATACTATAAAGATGACGTGTCTTCACTTCCTCTCTCAATACAGAGATGGAGCCAAGCTATCCTGCATACAAACGCTACCATCTTGCACATTGCGAGGCAGAGTCTGCCCAGTAATGTTACGGGGATGGAGCCGTGGTGACACACAGGCTCGAGTTGTGTCAGCTGTGACACCCTTTTATAGCATCAAATAACTAATTAAAACCAATCTTATTACAACATGAAAACAACAAACATCAGTATGATAAAAATGACCTAAAATGACAGAAATCATCTTTCAATGTATTTGTGAAATCCATTTTAACCTGTGTGCATATACTGTATATAGACAGATAGAGAGAGAACTGCTTGCATTCCACAACTGCAGCTGAAACTATGAGCTCTGACTGTCTGCAAGGATGGTAAAAACATTATGGACCATAGCGGTAGCAGATAGAAGCAAACTGTTGCTCACGGTGGCAAGACAGCGCAAGTGAGCATGCAGTCAACAGAGCTGCAAATAGTGCTCCACACACCAAATTCGAGATGTCTTATGTTAGAGTAAAAAATGTTTTGGTTCATAATGAAAGTGTGGCGGGACAAGTTAGAATCCTGGGCTACCACATTCTAGATAATTTTTGGGAAACATTGTGATTATATGCTCAGAACAGCCTGCTACTTCTCTCCATATAGAGAATATTGATAGCCTCATACTGACAGGGCAACAGGGTAAGAGGGAATGTGGATTTAAGGAATGAAAAAAACAGATGATATGGAAGTTGGGTTTCAAAATTTTAAATAAAAAGGAACAGCAGAATCATTGGTTTTCCAACAAGTGTCCAGTGGACTTTCAGGATGGTGCTTGGAGTTTGGTCACGTATCAGCAAAAGCCTCACTATACTGTCATGGTCATTATGTTTCATGCTACGACAGGAAGGTGGACTAGAGGAACATGGATGGCAGGCATAGGAGATTCTTCCGCTTATACAGATCTCAACCTCAGCTATAAGCCTCTTTGAACCGCTGCCTCTCCTCTCTCTTTTTTTGTTTGTCTATCTGTCTCCCTCACATCAGGAGTGGTTCATGGTCTATGAGCACAACCGTAGGCCCAGCTGCACTGTGTCTGACCTGGTCATGGGGAACGAGTATTTCTTTCGAGTGTACAGCGAAAACATCTGCGGCCTCAGTGAAAATCCTGGCATGAGCAAGAACACCGCCATCATTACCAAAACAGGTAATGAAATCCCTGCAGAGCGCTGTGCAGCGTAACACGTTGGCGTCACTTTTCATGCCAAGAAGCATCTAATGCACGCTGAGCTGTAGGCCACAGTGTATTCAGTTCAAAACTGAACTGAGCATTATGAAAAGAGGAAGTTATCAGTGTTGGTGATTAACATTTCACATTGAAAAATGACTAAAACTACAAACTGTAATACAATTTTTAAGTATAGAACACAGTAATAACATCAGAGCAAGTTGAGATTAATTGCTGGCCGTGATTAATAGCTTGCATCTAATTTAAAAGAAAATTAATTCACACTGATTATGCTAAACACAAATATTTTTTGACAGAGTGTTAAATAAAATGTAATACTGGCCACGGATTATGAAAGCAACTAGGCTGGGAAATTAACACCTGCCACCAGCCAAATGCTGCCACTGTTGTCGTGTTGTTGCATTTGCTTACTCTCCCAGAAAATTTGGCAGCCAACCAGCCAATCTCGTTTGTGAGAATTGTTGATCATGGTGCCCACCTGACCTCAGGATGAAACAAAAGTCAGCTCCCTGTCTCCATAATTGAAATGGTAATCGGCAAATTAAAACAATTTGCTAGCGTAACAGAATGTGGTATGGCTATTAAAGGCAAGACAATACACTAGGTTATTAATTAAGCCTTTCAGTAGAATGTTTCACAGAGTCCTTGATTAGAGGAGGCTTGAGAGGTGTGACACAAACCAGCCAAATACTTCAGTGAAGGTTAATTTAAGTCATGTCCATCAAAATTAAGATATAATATTGTCTTCAATGCCCCAAGAAACATTCGTCTTTGGCTTCATCAGGTGAAGTCATCAGTCTGAGGCAAGTTTGGAGAGTTTCATGCCAAAGAGACCATGGGGGCGGGGGGGAAGAATGAACCAAATCTTTTTGTAAGGATTTTCTGAAACATCAATGGAAAAACTGAATGGGAAGTTTACTTCTAGACACGAGCCATTCTAAAAGTGGGCAGTGACACGCTCCTCAGAAGGTTCAATTTCCTGAGTTGTGAAGTGGTTGATCTGACTTTCATGTGTTTTGAACTCGTAATATGGAAAAAAAACATAAATGCTGTAAACAGAGTGTGTTGTATTTTTGTGTTGAGAACGCTTGAACAAGACATTGACACCTCTTTCCAATATTTAAATAAGAAGAAACAGCAAGGAGAGAGAGATGGACGAAGTGTGACATTTGACAAGTTACTGTTTAACGCTGATCGTAAAATCATGTTGATTGTTTGTGGGTGATGACTTCAGCAACTTTGTAGTGTGAGAACTGACTGAACCACAGTCGAAAAAACTATGAGGCAAAGCATATCAAAGATTGTTTGATGAGAGAGATGTTCGTGTTTTCTTTTCATGCTGAGGTCAAGTGTACCTCTAACTATTGACCTCCTTTAAAAGGAACAGTAAAATTAAATCCCTCCGGGTTTACACCTTAGTTACACATGCAAAAATGTACAAACTATAAAACCCATGATTCAATGGGAAACAAAACTCTGAATATTCTCTTAAGGCCCTGTGCAGGGAAAGTAGGCAGGTTAAAATATTCGGTGCATAAAGAAGCTTGTGTGCATTTTGTTAGAATAGATACAAAATAAATTGAGACATCACTTCTCCATCTGTCCAGGTTTGTGCTATAAACCTCCACCCTTCAAAGAGAAGGATATAAGTGCATCCCCGAAATTCACAGCACCCCTGGTGGACAGAAGTGTGGTTGCAGGTTATGCCACCGCCATTAGCTGTGCCGTCCGTGGCTTCCCCAAGGTATTTACATCTATCGCAAAACAGTGTATGTATGTGTGTGTGTGTGTCAGAGATGCTGTTTCTCTATTTGTGATTAAGTTAAGGATATAAAAGGAATATAATATTATGTCATTATTTTTTTTTAAATCTTTAAGAAGTGTTTCATTTAGCTTAGAAATCTGTGGAATATACAGTAGGTACTGCCCCAGCTTTACCTTTAAAATAAACTAAAGACCTATAGCACCCCCCCCCCCCCCATCCTGTACACTTTACTGATGTAGCTCTGCTGCAAGGGTGCGCCACATATTTCATGTTTTGTTTTTTTCAGAGTGAGCGTACAAGTTTAGAGTGTCAAACAGTGAGTGTTGAACAGTCAGAGAGGATTTTGATGCCTTTGCAGCAGGGGTATATTTTTATGTCTGAAGATAGAACAAGAGGTGGAGCAAAAAGATCTTTGAACACGTTTTTTTTCCTCTCCCAACGAATCGGCAATGATTTGTCAAGTCGAAATGTTGACCTAATTTCACCTCTCCCTCTCCCCACCTCCCTCTGCTCTCCCGCCCTCCCCGACATCCCTCGCTCTGTTCCTGCTCTCCCTCCTCCTCCTCTTTCCTCTCATCCATCCCGCCAATTTTGCATCCTCCTCCAACACACTGTTCCTCAGCCAAAGATCACTTGGATGAAGAACAACATGATCATTGGTGAAGACCCCAAGTTCCTGATGCAGAACAACCAGGGTGTATTGACTCTAAATATACGCAAGCCAAGCCTGTTCGATGGGGGCAGATACACCTGCAGGGCCGTCAACGACCTTGGTCATGACGAGGTGGAGTGCAAGCTGGAGGTTCGAGGTACGTTGTCTGAACTTTCCCTCCCATAATGCCATAGATCCAAGGCAGTAAGTCTCTCTGACAGTCTTCAATGAAGCTCAGCATGACAAATCTCCATCTCCTCAACCCTTTGACTGATCTCTTGTTGTGAAACATCAGTTGAAATTCTCGCCGCTTTGCTCTAAAAATAAATCACCTTATTGTGTTTGTCAGTTAAAGTTTGGGAGCCACAGATGACTCCAAGTTTCTTTAAACAGGATGATCTCCCAGCCTCTCATGCTGATTCAAATTTCTCTTTTCCTCCGCAGTCGTACAAGAGAAAAGAGAGGAGGCGAAGAAATGAGCGACAGAACGAAACAGCAGAGGATACAGTTGAACAGGAATAGTAGTGGATTATGTATAATGGGATAGTCATGAATAAATATGATTAGAATAGATCACTGGTGAGGCTTTAAAGCCAACCCCCCCCTCCCCCATACGCTTGCTTTTCACCACTGCTATGATGAATGCCACTTCAGTAATATGCCATAAATTCTAGATTCTTACAGCAAGCTGCCACCTTGTCACTCCCTGACTGAGAGACACCACAGTATAGTGTAGTAGCGCTGCCCTGCTGTGACCACACACAGATGGATCCTTCTTATCTGTGAAGTGGACCTGTCACTGAGCACACTTATAAAACAGCCTTTCATCCATTACGGCTCCCTGTGTTGTCTGTTTTGTGTCCGGGACGTTTTTATAGGCTGGGATGAATTTATGATTGGGATGCAGCTATAGCACTGAAACCAGCGCAGTGTGACCGGCCGGCTGCACACCTTCACCTCCTCGCCGTGGCGTTCGGTGCGGTGATGTGTGAGCAGGGCACCGTCGGCCCTGTGATGGTTGAATGGAGGGATCAGCCTTCAGCCAGGCATGGCCGACATCCTGGAGCCACTGGGATTAAAGGGGTTCTTATACACAGATATAGACCTGCTGTGTCCTTCATGCACACACCCAGAGGGCACACACACCGATTCTCAGACACACTCTCTCTGCCTTCACCCGTTCTCACGTGCTCTCATGCTACATTCCTAATGGCATGACCTATAGTGGTAGGCCTTTACAGATACATAGCTTACACTCATGCTCATGCAAACACAAACACATACTCCAAATCAGGGTCTCATTAGCATCATTCACTAGAGACTAATTAATGCACCCATCAACACTGCCCTAATTAGCTCTCCCACGTCATTACTGAGCAAACGAATTACCGCTAATTTACACACCCGCAAAACAAACACAGCACCGTCTCTGCTGGGAGAGTCCGCCGCGGCTCGCCTCGCACACTAAATTAAAGCCTCACCGAAGTGCTGCAACTCAGGCCGGCGTCCCAAGTGACCCCATCCTCCCTCACACGCACCCCTAACGCCGCCATCTGACTGAAGAGGGTTTGGAGAACAGATCGAGTCAGAGACAAAAAGCAGAAGTTCTGACAGAACTCATCAAACGGTTTTCCAGCCGCAGAACAAATAACATCAGCCTCCTCTGGGGATGTGACGGCACTTTGCTCTCCAGGCCTGTTCCACCACTGACTAGGTCCTGGTCTCATGTCTCTCCAGCAGAGGGGGTAAGAGCACAGTGACAAAGACCACTACTGACCATCATTAGGGTCTGTGGTGTAATTGTGAGTGGCAGATTATTAAGAACTATAACATTGGCACCACATCACTGACTGATGCTCTGAACCTGAAGGCTTCCAAAACACACCAGCCCAATCCCAGCTCTTGCCACCTGCCCTGAAACATTTAACACTTCAGAGTACAATACAGTGAATTTCCTCCTTTACATTGCAGCATGTCGTGAGAGATTAGTTGAAATAGGGTGAGGACAGAAAATGTCCAGATAAAGCAGGGAAAATCCTCCAGATACCTGAAAGTAGGCCACAATTGGCTGCACAGTAGACCTGCAGTGCAGCACAAAGCTTAAATTTTGAACCCTGTCGAGCAGGAAATGACTCCGCAAGAGTGTGTGGCAGTGTGTGGATTATGTGTGGTGTTGATATAATCTTATTGTCAGTTAACCCGAGACACAGCGTGGTGTGTTGCTCTGTTGATTGACACATGAAAGCGGCGCTGAAGGTACGCTGCACGCTACTTTGCATGAAAGTTTTGTGAAAAACAGATTCTTCAGAAAAAAAAATATAACAGCGTGTAACCTGGATACTTCACCTGAGCTTTGCCCTCTGTTCCCGCTCTCGAAATTGACGCTCAGTTGCTAAGCAATCAAACTAATTGTATCTACTGGCATCATCCGCAAGACTTAAGAAACTTTCAAAACATGAGATGCAGGTTTACAGTGCTGCTGTCAGTGTGTGTGTGTGTGTTTGTGTGTGTGTCCTCCCCTCACACTGTTTCAGGAAGCTTTAAGTATAGTGAGCCAGAAACAAAAAAGCACAAAATAACATAGAGCATTTTGTTTTTCCCTCATTCCCTGTGACACACCTTAAGGCTCTTTAAGTTTGTGATGCCTGAATGAATAATTAATGAGGACGCATGGCAGCCCAGGAGTAAACCATCAGCCTCCTCATGCACACTGTATCTGCTCTGCTGTCTTTCCAATATTAGACCAGGCCTGCCTCAGACAGAGACGAGACAAAAGAGAGTGACAAGACGTCTTACCACCAGACGAACGGGAGGCAGAGTCAGTGGGGGTGCGGGCACTCATGTCTGTGTGTGTGTGTGTGTGTGTGTGTGTGTGTGTGTGTGTGTGCGTGTGCGTGTGCGTGTGCGTGTGTGTGCGTGTTCAAGAAAAGAAAGACAAGCGATACCAGAGAGACAGAAACAGACCTCCTGAAACAGTAGGATGGAGGGAACTATAATTATGCAAGTAATTATACATGAAATCACAGACTTTGGAGTGAGAGAGGAATAGATAGAGGGAGAGAGGAAGAGCACTGGAGGGAAAACAGCCTTGCAGTGAGTCTCATCCGTGTAATTACAGTATGAGAACTAAACGAAACAGAGGGAGAGCACACACATGTCATATAGGCACATTTACCAGTTTTCTTCTGTCTGTCCATCTACTATTGAACTGCATCCGCCTTCACAACACACACACACACACACACACACACACACACACACACACACACACACACTTATCATTTTGTGTTCATCGTGTGATGCTCTTATTTTGGTTCCCATGGTTTAATCTATTGAATACTTGTGGAACTTGAACCCACAGACTGTATATAAAGATAGGCGACATGACAGCTCCTCAAAAGTGAAGGGAAAATGCCTTGATCGCCCCCTGGTGGCTGGCTGCAATATAGGTCATAAACCTTGCATCGTCCGAGTTAGCAGATAGGACATGGACCAAACTACACAACTAAACATCTTGATTAAGAGCCGAGACTGACACACAATTTGTCGAGCGCGTGTAACTGCTTCACTCCACAATCATTATTGGCTCCAAACGATGTCTTCTGCCAAAACTGTATTTACTTGTTTCTTGACCCATCCTTCCACCAAGTTTTGTGGAACTTGGAAACAAACAAGCAAACCAACCAACCAAGAAATGGACAGGGGCGAAAACATAACCTCTTTAGCAGAGGTGATAATGTCTCCTTTGTGAGTGTACGAGAAACAGAGACAGAGCTTCTTCTGTCCAAAATTTATTAGGGACATCTTTACAAAAGGCTGCTCTGGCTCAGAAGGATTGGAGTTTAGGTTATGGACTTACATCGAGGAGGGACTTGTTTTATAACCAACGTGTCAAATTCAAACCCCAACTCAAGTCTACAGCTGCAATTTCTTCTCAACATTTCGCTTTGGCAGGAGCGACACGACAGTGGTTCCGAGCTGGAGCCTTCTCCCTGTTTCAGCTCCTCCTGCTATATCCTGAGGCGCTCTCAGGTGAACAATCCCTCCTGTGTGTTCTGGGTCTTTGGAAGAGTCTCCTCCTTGTTGAAAATGTGTGGAAAACCACAGTAAGATATCCAGGAGAGAACCCCCTCAAGTGAGCAGAGAGTTTTGAACTCCTTTAAACATCACTAAGGCGCAGCTCAGATCCTCAAAAGCTCATTCACTTCAGCTGCTTGTATCCACGACATGTGTATGAAAAGTATTATAAAGTGCTGCAATCATTCCTTCTGTGCACATTGGCCAAACAGATATCATTTCTTGAGCAGCACAAAGTTCATAACTGTCATTTTACTCCTCTAAATATGACAACTTCTGGTGACAAAGATGGCACTGGATTAAATGCCAAACTAGAGACTTCACAAACCAATGAGGCTGACAATTTGTTGGTGTGAAACATCCACTATGTTCTGTAACCATAACTGTTCTTACCAAAGTTTTACCAGTTGATTGGTAATAGAGCATCTTAGTCCTCACTCTTCCCCTTCACCATCTTAACCGCCAGAACATTTATTGCTCTTACTGTAATGAGTCCGTCTGCAAATTTAAAAATGATGTTGATATGATTAAAAAAAATCGAAAGGACTTTAAGATCAGCATCAGTAAAGAAGTTGAGTTTAACCCTTTAAAAATTATGACATCACAGTCAGCAGAAGGTTCCCGTAAGTGGGTGCACACGTGTGCGTCTGTGTGTAGGAGTTTAATGTTTTGGCACACACGAGTGAGTCACATATTGCGTATGTAAATCCATCTGCCTAGTGTGAAAGGAATAGCAGTGTGAAAATCACCAAAAACGTATGCAAAACACTGATAAACTGCTCTGATAAAGACGAAGAGTGGTTGAGACAGACACTTAATAGGATGGCGGCTGCACAGTACAAACAGCCAGCCTGAAATATTACCACATAATAAACTCCTCCACAACGGCTTAGTCGCAGAGAAAAAAAATATATGATGAGCTTAACAAATATTCAGATGAGGAGAGAAGGACGGTTAACAAATGGAAACTGTAGTCACAGAAATAAAGCTTTTGTTGCGTTCTGTCAGAGAATGCTAGAGAAGCCCCTGGATGTGGAGCAGTAACTATGGTCAGTTCTCTACTGGAATTACGTCTGATGATTGATCTGCATGATCATGTAACAGACGAGGAGTACGAGGCCGTTTGAAATGGCAGAAGCAGCCTCAGGTGCAAACACTGCTCCATCATGATGTCTCCACACTCCTCATGACGCAACTACAACACACACACACTGAGGGAAAATGGAAATACTGTTTACTGCGACTTCATCTGTGATTATAAACCGTATGTCATTCCAGTGCAGATTGATTTTACTCATGATCACTAAAGGCTGCTTCATACGTCAGTGCAGGATTGTTGCAGAGGCAGGGCTACACCTTTGTTAGCATTTATACCATAGACAGTAATTAAAGATGGACGATGCATCTCCACTTCCTCACATTTCCCGGAAATGAAGCCAAAATATTCCACAAACGAACACTGCCTACTTGCGTACTTGCACACCATAGAGATTGGGAGATGGAGCCACTGTAACATGGTCTGGTCGATACATGCACTTGACCAATCAAGAGATTAGTCTCCACTGTCAATCATTACGTGTCACTTCATTTTTATATATTAAAACAAATCAATTTGATAGAAAACCATCTTTGAAAAATAAATTGACTTTTTAGATTAACACAGAGGAGCCAGGTTTGGATCCAGACACTTTAGCTTCACTTTTGTGGAGCTGTCATGTTGGCCATCTTTATATACAGTCTGTGATTGATACTTGA